GAAATTTGAGTAATAAGAATTATAATGATAATAAGAATGGAGATTATGCTGACGTTGATGAATATGAAGACTCAAACGACGATAATAATAATAATTATCATTACAAAAATAATGATAATAGTAGGTATAATAGTATCTACGATAACAATGACGGTGTTATTATTGATGACGATAATGTTAATTGCAGTAATAATAATAATAAGGGTGATAATAATAGTAATGATTATGATAATATTAATAATAACAATGACAAAAATAAAATGAACGTTAATAAACATGACGATAATAATAATGAAGACGATGACAATGATACCAATAGCTATGATAATAATTTAAATAATAATGTTGAAAATGATAATAAGGACAAAAATTATACCGCTGATGACGAATGTAATGTCTTAACTGACGATTGATGTATTAATTATCATGAAAGTGTTGATAAAAAATGGTTAAATAATAATAATGATAATGAGAGTGGTGAAATGATTGACGACAATGATAAAGATTGTAGTTATAGCGACAATGATGATGATGCTGGTATATGAACATTATGAAAATACAAATTATTATAATAGTTTATAAATTTTAATTCAATAGTTTTAAATTTCTAATAATCTCAGTAATGACATTGTTAATGATAGTAGACTTTGGCTATGATGATGATGAAGATAATAATAATAATGATGATAATGATAATAAAGGTTATATTTATCATAATAGTGATAGAAATAGTCTTAATATTAAGCATATTATTAACGATAATAATCTGAGTAATAACATTGAAAATAATTATAAGGATGACAATAATAATTATGAAGATATTAATAATGATGATAATAATAAGGATTATAATAATAACGATGGTCATAANCATCTAAAAAGGCATAAATATTTTTAAAAGATTTTTTTCCTCGAACTTTGAGAGGTAGAAATTTTAGAAGTGGCCTCCCACATAGTCACAAAGATCTCTCAACTGAAGACACTACATTTTCAATCGAGTTGGAAACAACAATAGGTTTCGTACTTGCTTGAGTACACTTTTTAGCGCTTACAAACTCGTTGCTATTACTGCTATTAAGTAAACTGTTGTGCCTCAGCTTATAATGAGAACATCTGTTTCCAAACAGTTAAAGCGTACACCAAGTTTTCTCGCTATACTCCATTTGTCCTTTACAGACTTTCGCGTCCAGTCATGACAGGCGGCTGCCGCATGACTTCCTTGACTACACAAGACGCAGTACGAATTTTCTTGAGTATAAGGAGAAGAAATTTTTAAACCAGCAACAAAACTCACTCTTTGATTTGAATTACAATTGTTACTCTTTTTTTCGTTGAGAGTACTTAACGAACTTCCAAAATTTTTTGAATTAATTATTCCAGCAGATAAGCTCATTTTAGCCTCGCGTAATAAAAAACTACTTAAAACTTCTAAGCATGCCTTCTCAGTTCCTTAAGTATTTACAAAATTTGCGTAATCGTGCAGCATGGATCTCGGGATTTTCTTCAAAATATCTTTAAACAATTCCGGACTGTGTTATTAACCTAAATGATCAAAAATTTTCATTGCCACTACAGCATTATTTAATTTTGACGGAAATTCGACAAGACTCATGCCACATGATCCCAAAAGTGGAAGAGATTTAATCTCGTTTACAATTTTTCGCAAATTACATCTTTGTTTTCAAAACAAAGCTCTAGAGTACTAAAAATTTCGCTCGCTATTCCTCCTGAAACAAACAGTGTTTTGACGGCTTCTCTAGCTTCTGCCAACAATGATTTATTAAGTCTAATAGCATTTTATTTCTCGGAAAACTGGCATAAATCTGTTAAAACTTTAAAAGCATCTTTAAAATAAGGCCATTCGAAAAAATTGCCCAAAAAAGTTGGCAACTTCTTTACCGACATTCGATGGCAAAATCAAGAATCTTGGAAAGACAAATCCTTCTTAGAAAAAACTGATAACTCAATAGCCTGAGCTAATCTAGTAAGTGGGTTCTGAAAATCAGAAATACCTCCAGAATTCTCTGTACTGTGCATCCATTCATTCTTACATTGAATAGAGGACAAATTTCGATACTGGATTGAGCGAACGCGAAAACGCTTTGGGAAGAACTCTTCATCGCAATCAAAAATATTACCGAATTCTAATAAGTCGTTTGCAGATCTTTTCAAAAAACGACGAACCGATTCGAAATCTGGTTGTTCTTGTTTTTCTGAGCCCGGTAGAGCCGCAGCTGGAGCGTCTTGCTGAGGCAGTGCGTCGTTCATCACAAGCTTATCATCAGGAACCTTACGCTGATAAGCGCAGGCTTGTTGGGCCACAGGACGGGGCGTGCGAGAGCTCGGGAGAGCCGCAGCAGGAACGCCTCGCCAAGGCAGCACGTCGTCTACCGCAAGCTCGTCGTCAAGAGCCTCAATCCGGGGTGCACGGGCTCGTAGGGCTGCAGGACGGAGCGCGCGAGAGCTCAGGAGGCCCGCAGCAGGAACGCCTTGCCAAGGCAAAACTGTCAAAGGTATTAAAAGACAGAAATATATAGTAACATTTAACGAGTGATAATGATTTTGTTTCTGTTATTTAGAATTAGTTGTTAATACACTTTGAGCGATTTAGATAGCATATTTTCGACCTTTTTCCTACCTTACCAAATTTTTATTTACGTCTCGTTTCTTTAAGATTGTTATAAAATTTTTTTACTAAGTTCTTAGCGTTTGATTAGAAAAAAACTTTTATACAACAATATCTTGTCACTATAAATTATCATTGAGAAATTTTTCAATATGTTTTTTTTTTTTACGATGGTGATTATCATCACATACTACACATTCATACGAATGCCTTTCTGAGCAAGATAAGTTTAATAGACTTAGATGCTCTTAATTATTATATTCGTTTATTAATTTTATTGTTAAGTTTCCAGTTCGTTGGGTTATTTTCTTCTTCAATTCCTGTCGTTTTTTCGCTTTTGGTCCTTTCTGTTTTACATCGTTGGATTACAAGTTTTTTTGTAGTGCTTCTGCAGTCACTGTTTTAATATTTACATTTAATTTAATACTATCAATTTTTTTTCTACAGTTTTTTGTCACTCTTTTTTTTCTGTTAGAAATAATATTGTTGTAAGTTTTTATTGTTTTTTTTTTTTTTAAACAATTAATAGTTTTTTTTTTTAAAGTTTTTCTTCGTGCCATGTCATATTTTTCTTTTATTTAATGACATTCATTTTTTTTACCTTTCTTATATAGTTTTTACTATTTTTATTACACAAAAAAGATACTTTACAAATGTATTGTTAAGTTAACAGAAATACACATGTGGAGCCACTTGTTCTGAGACTTTCTGATAGCAGCAACTATCCGGTAAGCTTGGGATTGTTTTGTTCCATCATTGTTTGAACAAGCCTGTAAGTCGATTCATACATTTTGATCCATACTTTTACTTTAAAGTTTAATGGACGGTCATTTAATTACTTTTATTTAAAAAAAGAAGTTTACCGTACTATAAGATTTCAATTTAAACTGTGCAAGTTATTTACTAAGGTTATGGATGTAAAAAAATAATTATTATCGCTTGGAGAAGTAATTGGTCAGCTTTACTTTTCTTAAAAAAATAAAAATTAATGTTTTTGATGAAAAAATCTAGTTGTCGTATACTTTTTGTTGTTATTTATTCTTTCTTTATAATGCATTTTTATATTATGTCTTATTTTATATTGTATGTTGCATGGATTGAACTTAAACCTGTATGTAAAGTACAACTTTTACTGAGCGAAACTGTCTATTCTTGAATAGTATTAGAGCCTATGCTAAGCAACTTATTAATTTTGCAAGTCTTGTTTTTGTTACTAACAATCGTACTTATGTCAAAATAGATAAGCATACAATTCTTACTTTAAGATTATTTTTATGTCATATAAGAGCTTTAATTAGAGTTTTTAAACTTATTCACTAGATTCTTTATTTAATTAAAAACACTTTCACTTTTATGGCTTCAATTTTACTTCAAAATATATTATTAATTGCTTTCCAAGGTCTGATGGTTTGGAAGCTACATTAAGTATCAGCCCTTATTTCTGAGGCAGTTTTAAGAATTCTAATGACGATATCATACGTTTGCGTTGTAATACGGCAGTGCAGAGCTTAAGAGAGTTTGTGAGACCCCAAATGGCTGCAATAAAAAAATTCAGAAAAAAATTATTTTGTCTACCTTAAAAAAAAAGCAATAGAATCTCTATTTCGTTGATGTAGAAATATATTTTATTCTTATTGTTTATGTTTTGAGACCACGTTCGTGTCCAATTGATGATTAGTTAAAATTAAGTTCGTGTTATATTACTTTCAAGGATTTAAAAATTTAATTTTTTTAATTTGTGGAGTAAAGTTTGCGCATAATTTACATTTATTTCTTATCCTCAGGATTTCAAGATGTTTAGTTGAACAGTTGTAGCTTAATACCTAGCAGCAAAGAAACAAAAATTCTCTTTTTTTTTAGAAAGTTTTGGTTTGATTAAGCTTGTTAAAAATTAGTCGTAGAAAGTAGTAAAAAGGGAAAAAAGTGTTTTTTCACATGCCCTATATTGCAGTGTTAAAATACAAAATTGAAGGAATATATTTTTATCATGACTGTTTATCTGTAAAATGATAAACTTTGAGAATATGTAGAGGTACATACCGTTATTAATTTTGTTAAGATCTCACTACAAGTATTAAGAAGTTAAATATGAACGGCAATTAATACAAATGTTTGATAAACCCTGTAGATTTTACAATATATCTTCGTTCTCTCTTATATTAAGTATCAAACTTCAGGTATGGACAGAACTTCTTATTAGCAACTGTTAAATACTTTTGTCTGCATAAATCAAGATGTAATAAATTTTTATACTTTTTCTACATGTTAAAGAATGTTACTTACAACAAGATATTAGGATATGTAAAATAATTTTTAATAATATAATAATTTATCGATATCAAATTTTGATGATTATTGTAACTATTTGTTTCAGAGCTTACTTGTGGAGAGCATGTTACAATAGCTCTCTCCCCTGCCTAACCATGCCCTACAACGTTGCTGAATTCATATTACTTATAACTTTAAAAAGTAATTGCAGACAGAAACTAAATCATCTTACAGATGGCTCCACGTTATTGCAGCAGGTAGTATTCGTTAATAATTTTTTTTGACAGCTATGCTTTAAAAATATAATGAATAAATGATGTCAAAAAAGTTATTGTACATAAAAATACAATTATGTGAGCATTAATAATAAAGAAAAATCCTGCGAATTTAACTCTGAAAAATTTATGTTACACGCTAAAAAAAAATCGGTGCTGTAGCTACCCCCATACGTGCATAGACATTATTGAAAAATCGCGTTTCCACATCCCTTAACTCTCGTACGTGCTTGTGGTTCCAAAGCAGTTTTATTTTATGGCACATAATTAACCCTTATTCTATAATTAAATATGTTTCAAATTATAAGTTTATAAAAAATATTTTGTACATTAAATAGAGTATTACATACATCCATTTAGTACACATTTATGAATGCACACACGTTTGCTGACGAACGTTAAATTACGTACACTAATTAAAAAAAATTAAAAATGAAGGGTTCAGATAAATGTACATACTACATGACGAAATTTCTATTTATTTGACACTTTTGAAGTAACAAAAATCAACCGAATTTTTTTACGAAAGCACACCTCAAAAAAGTTTTTGTCATCTCTTAAAGACCTAACACAATAAAAATAAAATGGCAAACATATGATTCAGGTCTCGACACTTGATTTTTTCAACTAGACTGATTAACAGAAAAATATCTGTACGAACAAGAGATGCAGTATCTATTTCACGATTTTTGAGATTTTTCCTTTTAATGGCGAAATACAAATTTTTTTAACTTTCTTTTTTTTTTTATATTTATGTTAAACCTAACATTTTTCACTGATAGTATAGTGCATAAGTAAAGTTTTTGACAGTTTTTTGGGTAGCTAATAAGATTACTAAGCAAGTTGACATTAATATTACATAATTATTTAAAATTTCTCGTTAATTAGAAAATCCAGGGAAATTACTCATTAATCGTTTTTCATAAAAAAATTTCATCAAAAAATACTTTTTCTACACTTAATTTCAGAGCAAATTTCGAACTATTGGGTTTAAAAAGATTACAAAGTGTATGTGTTGTAAATTTCAGCTGCTTCAGTTACATTTTGTCCATCCTGATCGTTCATTGCAAATATACAGTATTTTTCTAGATATTTTTGTTAATTTCTGGATTGTATTCAGTACCCGTGCTAGAAAAACTGTTTAACTATCAGATTTTTTCAGTCACTGTTATATGCATGCTTGTTATATCTTACTAATATATAAAGCAAAGTCGCTAAAACCGTTGTAATCGCTAACCGCGAAAACTACTGAACCGATTTTGCTGAAATTTTGCATACCGATTCTTGACACTTCCTAGATGGTTTTAAGTATGGATTTTATCTTGAAAAATTTAATAACAACAGCAATAAATAAGCTCAAAGTTTTGCAAAAATACGCCAGCTTTTCACTTTAGTTCAGTAGGATCCAGTGGGCGGCGTCGACATAAAATCGAAGCTACCTGTAACAGAATGAAATAAGTGTGGCTATAATAGGCTGGAGCGTCAAAGTTCTTACTTTAATCGTCGACTGGCAGTTCATCGACAATGGAGCTGGAGACGTGTAGCTTGGTATCCCGGTTATCAATGACACTTTTCTCTGAAGGGGAAGTGATCTAGGTCTTCACTTTTACCTGGAACCTTCAGGATTGATGAGTGCCACTGATGAGAAATTTATTCTAACCAATAACGTCTCCGGCGGAATACCAGGCGACGTGTTAAACCAGATTACATCCTGCTCCGACACTTCAGAGTTATGTGGCCGTACCTTAATCTGGCCTGGTGCCGTCAGAGAATTTTTACTACAAATATAAGCCAGGGAAGACAGCCGTAAAAAGTACGAGCTTTCACAACAGCCTCCTCCTTAGTGATCATCCCAACAGCATACCTACCGAGAAGGTATTCCCAAGGCTCACTTTTCCGACTAACGATGAGCAGTTGGTTAACTGAGGAACGACCTGAAGACGAGATATTCTATGGTCAGCGGCGTACCTCCCTTCAGTACGGTATCCGTACACAGAGACTCCAAGGATATGAGTCAAGCTACCCGTAGCTGGTTCTCCATCATAAAGAATAATCATATGGAATAACTGGAAACTTCACCACTGGCCCTTTTCAGGGCCATTATAAGTATTGACGATCCCTATTTAACCATTAATCTCATCGGTTTTTTTAAGGGCCATCTAAGTTTAAACTACCTTGCCAACCAAAATGTTTTCACTAACATTTTCACAAACGATTTGTCGACTAAAAGACTGTGTAAAACCGGCCACTATTAATCCAAGTCAGTCATTTACTGGCAGATGTCACGAGTGGAGTTATTTATTGCAAGGCTAAGATATAATATATAATATAAGAACTCTATCGACGCTATATTACTCTCTCGACTCTAAGCACTCAACCAAGAATCGCCAATCCTCTCCAAGGTCTCCACTTGGAAAACCTAACAGCTATAGAGCAAATATAAACTTAAGCCAACGGGACCGTCTCCAACGAGCGAACATCAAGAACCAATCTCTCTACCTTAGATCAACAAAACAACTGAGTCTGCAGAAAAAGGAGGTGCTTAAGACACCAACGTCTTCGTTGTTGTACCAGGATACGTTGGGAAAAAGCTCTATAACCAGCTTCAAAGCTTTAAATGTTATAGTTTTCCTTCCGATCAGTGTGGTGCTTGAATAACAGGCCAGAGAAGATCACCCTCAAGTGTAGAGGCAATAACGTTCGCTGGAAACTTTAGTCAAAAAAGAGTTTACTTAAGAAGCTCACCGATCCTTTTTTAACTACCTTGCTAACAAATACATTACAACCTCATGAAGTTGAAAATATAGCGCTTAGGGCTTTCAAAAATTTTGACTATGCTAAAAGTCACAAGAAGTCGAATTGGAAGGAAAACTTTCAATGCATTTAATGAATACAATTTTAGGCGTCAAGAAATTGACGCTGAATATTTATCGAGGTTAAAGCAGCGTTAAGTTTAATAAATGAAGAATTTATAGAGTTAGAAATGATCTTCTATTTATAATGAGCATAGTAATCTTGTTTGTAACTCGCGCCTCCGGCCATGGACGAGCGAGAGGCGTGGATACTTTTTTTAGTGTGTGTATGGGCGAAGATATATTGGAATATAGTGTGTTGGTTACGTGTTCGATCTGTATCGCATAACTTTGTATTCTACTCAACTGATTAATAAACCCAAAGCTGTACTACAATATTGAATACAATAATAAAGTAAACAATTGGTCCTTTGAGCCAGATTAGAGGCAACCACGACGCCAACGGCATACAGCAGTCTCGGTCAACCTGGAACATCCAAGATCGCTCGCACTCTCACGCCATGTAAGTAAACATGCTAAGAGCAAAACATCTCTGCGTCCGAGAACGCATCGAGACTTTGGAGCCTTGAACGCAAGCGATGCACACCACGGTCAATTTGTGACATAGAGCAGCGAGGTTATGAGAACATCAAGGGTTACGACGACCTCGACAGATCCTGCTGCGCAGTCGGTTCAGTGCCGTGAGCACGGCCATTATCTTGCATCCAAGGGGATCTGTATTGCACATCACACGTAGCTTGGTGACGAGACCGTGATCTCCCACTAAATCAGCGACAACCAGGTTACTCGTGCCGATGTAAGTCGTGTGGCTGCCATAGCCACGACACAGTACGGTTGGGTGCTTCGTGTGTGACAAGACTCCGCTTGGCTGACGAGCGTCGAGCTCACAACAATACGTTTTTTCAGGGAGGACAGTGACTGGGCTGATTTTCTGACGGCTCAGCAGAGCTTGTTGGAGGTCTTGGGTTAGTTCGACCAAGCGGTCAACGGTGTTGAGGTCTGGAGCTTAGGGAACGTGGAAGCCAGGATTGAGCTACTCAGCAGCTACTGGAGCAATTTTGTAGCAAATTATCAAGTGTTGAATCGAGCCCCCCCTGCCCCCAAGGACAAGAGAGCAACAATGAAACAGCTGTATACCTCTGGCGAGGATAGTTACCTGGTGGCCAAGTTACGCCTACTCGATGCTAAACTTGGACTCGTCCCCCCTCCTCCACCAGCTCTAGGAGGTAGCGCGCAATTGACACACATGGGCCCTCGCTCACCAAATATCACCATCCAATCTTTTTCTCACCAGCGCGAAGATTGACAGTCCATCAGAGACCTCTTTCATACTCTTATCCACCAGTACGCACGACTGACTGACGTCGAGCGACTTTATTACCTGAAATCGAACGTACAGGGCGAAGCAAAGGCAGTGTTGGACACGTTGAAACTCGTTGGATCCAACTACACCACGGCATGGAGTCTGTTGACTTCAAAATTCGAGTATCATCGACTTCTCATGCACAACCACATCATGGCGCTGAAGGGGCCGGTCTTCAGGGCCTGCTCGACACCCTGGAGAAGCATCGCGATCAGCTACGAGCACTGAAGCAACCCCTAGATCAGTGAGATGCGTGGATGGTATCCTTCGCCGCGACTGCCATGGACTCTTCAACTCGCAGAGCCTTGGAGGATGAGCTCGAGAAGTTGGAAGCTAGCGTCTTGACAACAGGAGAAGTCGCTTCGTTCACCAACCTGACCAGCTTTTTGCGAAGACGCGGCCACTCGCTGGCTTCGGTCAAAATATCACGAGACGTATGCTCGATTGGTGATCCTTCCGCCTCGTGTTCGACCGGTGATCGTCTCCTGGTGGCAGCGCTAGCCAGTTGCAATTACCGATCGCTGGCCACCACTGCAACAAAGGCTGACTGCCCTGTCTCCAGTCACCTCACTACCTGGGTCACTGTGGACAATTACTACAACTCGATGGGCCTGCGTTCAGGACATTTGTCGTTCAGGTAAAGCTGTGCTTTAAGTGTCTGAGGCCTGGGCATGTCTTTCACTCCTGCCCATCTGAAGTGGTGTGTCAACAGTGCAAAGCGTTGCATCACAGCCTGATCCACGACAGCAGCCGCAAACGCAAAGCCGAGGCGGACACACAGAGCACTCAGGCCAAGCAAGCGTTCT